AAAAAAAATTGATGTGGCAAAAGTCTGGCAAAAGCGATGTATTTCTTCATCGTACTGTACTGGCGTAATACTCTGGCCACAACAGTTGCCTGCACAAATCTGTCGAAAAAACTCAGGCGCTTTTTCGCAACCAGCTGCATTGGTTGTGTTGGTGGTGACGCAGAGGCACTGATGCCTATAATTCCATAATAATTGCTTCTTATGTCTACATATAAAGGCTGTTCATCCTCAGGTATATATATATATATATATATATATACCTGAGGATGAACAGCCTTTATATGTAGACATAAGAAGCAATTATTATGGAATTATAGGCATCAGTGCCTCTGCGTCACCACCAACACAACCAATGCAGCTGGTTGGGAAAAAGCGCCTGAGTTTTTTCGACAGATTTGTGCAGGCAACTGTTGTGGCCAGAGTATTACGCCAGTACAGTACGATGAAGAAATACATCGCTTTTGCCAGACTTTTGCCATATCAATTTTTTTTTGAACGGGATGTCATATATCTCTTCTCGAGCGCAGTAATTTAGCTGCCGTCAGGGTACCTAGTGTCCATATGTCAGCGGATGGCTCGAGCTTACCGTGGTTCGAGCCCAGTCCCAGCATCTCAACCACTGCTGTCTAAGCTTAGGAAACCCGGCAATATATCAGCCATGGCAACTAGGCACTGAAAGGCCTTTGCAGCTGAATGGGGTCAGCGGTTGATAAACATACCTTTTGAGAGGAATTTTGAGTTATTTCCTTGCTATTCGGAAACTGTTTGAATAGATGTATTCCACACACACACACACACACACACACACACACACACACACACACCAAGCAATCACTATAAGCCGCTCATCAGGCAATCTGTGACTAACAACTGGTAAGTTTACGTATTTTTCGTTGTCGTCACTTTTCTTCTAGTGAAATTCCCACATACGCTTCGCATTTTTTTGCAGCCAGAATTTAGTAAAAAGTTCTCACTGACGTAAAAAAATATTCGCATTCTTGAACACAAAATTCCGTAAATGTTTCCTAAAAATGGCGGTCGAATTAGTTTGTGTGATCAAATCCATCAATGAGTGCCGTAAAAAACTAAAGACTGGTGTATTCTCATCGCGCTCTTTTAGTTCTCTGTTAGCTGAACAACTACTAATCTTCCTAGCGTGAACCTTTCCGTACTTACCGATTTCTCGTGATTAACGATATTAGAATTACCAGTCCAGTCAAGCATACTACTGTTTAGTCGGACACGCTGAGCTAGTAGCCATCCGTCAGGATTGCCAGTGTTGTCCAATCCTCTCATTTCCGGTCTTTTTCCGCTTACGCTTACGCTGTGCCACCTAGTATGGATCTGTGCATGCGTTCGGATCTGAGCAGGAAACAAGCTAATCCGGAAACATACAATAGTATACACTGTTTTCTGAGAGATACCTCTATATTCATGCGCTATTTCCATCGGAAGTTCTTCTAACGACTCAATGGGTATCATAAAATATTTGTTGCCAAACTCACGGTTTTTCTTGGGGCGAGACGGCCCAAGTGGTAAGAACGCGAATTTAGTGACCGGAAGGTCCGTGGTTCGAACCCCACCTCCGCCTCTCGACTTCCCCTGTCTAGGCTTGGGCAACCTGGTAGTATCCCAGCCCTCGTGCTTCCTTCGGGTGGCATGGCAGCTAGGCACCGGAAGAGTGCTACAGCTGAACGGTTTCACGGTTTTTCTTATTCGCTGATCATCCTGTTCACTCAGCAGAAACTGATGGGTAATATATTCTACTGTATTTTATCACACCAATCCCTTTTGACCGTAGTATGTAGTACGGATGATCTTTCTGACTAGGCACAATAGTTCTTCAGGTGATTTTACCCGTAGACCCGCATACCAAACAACTGATTTTTTCGCTTACAATTTATACTCCTAATCCATCGGAATGTGAAGTATGATTTCTCGTCCGGCAAGTGGAAACTAACGTGGATGCAGTCAACCAGTTTACTTCAACCGTTTACTTCAACATGTTCTGAAAACCTTTGCGTAAACCGTAAATTATCACTCAGCGTTATGATCGTACTACCTAGGTCCACCTATCTACCGGTCTGTCACTTTGGGCTGTACACTAGTTCAGTTCATAATACTACCCTTCCTAGTGGCTTCTTCCAATGTGCGACTAGCTGTGCCGTCTGTCCCGTGTAACTTGTACCGGCAATTAGTGGTAATGGATGGCGGTTAGTCAGTACCAGACGATACACGGTCGTTTAGGTGTTGTTTTCTTGCACTGGAGTGCAGAGACAAAAACCTCGTACAGTAGTTTGAAAGCTCGACTTATATAACTGGCTGGATGGCGAATCAGATGCCGAATTCCACTGTAAACACCGCGGGCACTACTGATAGCCTGTTGTTTGCTTCGAGGTGTGGAATATGTAGAATATACAGAATACTAGTGTGCTCGTCTCTTGACTGACTCTTATTAGTTGAGTTTGTGATCTATGACTTTTCACTACAGCAGTGGTTGTTATCTGCATTGATCCCACATCCCAAGCAAATCCATTTGGTCGAGTTTTCTCATCCCTGAGTCTGAAATTGTTCAAGTGTACTCATGTAGGATGTCTTTGTGCTTACCTGTTGGGGCGACCGGCGACCTGTACGATTTATCCACCGGATAAATCGTGCGAGACCACTGTCAGTAACCCACTCGTACGATTTTCACTCCACGGGATCGAATTAACTTGGTCGTGGGATCAGCTCAGTGACGCACTTACTTAATTCCTTTACTGGAGGCTTCTATGATGAAATATGGAACCAAGAATATTTTCATCTGCGGATATTGCATATCTGTTTCCCCCTATTTCATGGAGGGGAAGGACCCACTGATAGATACCCTACTTAGAAAGTACAACATCGAGGAGTCCTGTTGTTCATTAACATTCGTTGCACTGCTGTCCGAAGCACGTTATATTTAGCTGATTAAACAAAACCCAACAAACGAAGTCATGGGCTTGGAATGCGTTTTAAAGCCGTGACTGGCATCCTCTAAAATATCGATCTCACCAGGCGTGCAACAACGAGTCCTTTTTATTCACTCTTGCCTGTCATTATTTTTCATAAGCACTCCACCTACTTTATTCAGGAGCGGGCGATTCAGACATGCACGTATGTAAAATTCCCTTTTGTCGAACATAAATCACTCCAGATACTGCAACAGAAACTGCTTACCTTCGGTTGTCGTCAATCTAGCTGAATGAGGCTTCTGATCGTGTATGTTTGCATGTATGTGTAACTTTATCACACTCAACAGTTAATTTTCATAATTTATAGATATCTCAACAGTTGATGTCATGTTTTGTTGACGATAGTCTTTCATTTCCTGTAGATAATGTGATTCGATGAATTCCGATGGATAACTAGATGCACGCAATCAGAAGGAAATCACAAATGCCAGAGGAAGAATTTGAGCAAGCAACGTTTTGTTATCTGAACGGGCGTTCTGCCGGCTAAGCTACCACGGATACTGCTGAGTCACATACGCATTTCAACTTCACACACCTGAACGGCCCCAGTGCCTCGACGTTCTAAAAGGGTTCACTAATGGTGCTGATCCGCACGGTGGATATGTCGTGAATCTCGTGTGAAGTTCAAATGCGTATATATGTATATATATAGCCCGTACAGCGCTCTTTCGCTAAGCATGGATTAGATGTCAGTCCTTAGTGGTTAACTCTAACTTGCATTAACTGCAGCCGAGCATCTCATTCGAGAACTCTTCAACTGTAATCGAGTTTCATTTGTGTAGGCTGTGAGCGGTTCGCATGGCGTTTTGTTACACCTTGGTGTGCATCAGAAATCAGGGTGAACCTTCAAGTAACTGCGCTTTCTCCCTTAGCTGAGCTAACCACGTATTTTGTGGACTGCTTATTTCGAAGAATAGGCTTGGTATTTACTACGCACTCTAAATGCGTATTTGGCTACGCAGCCTCTCCGGAATAACTACTTTTGATTACAAAACAAAGCCCATATCACCGTTCTTGTAAATTAAACGAAAGTTGATAGCCATCCGTTGTTAGCTTTCTGGAATGTTTTGCCGCATGACCTGGACACTTCTCCCACCGATTACTTTCTCTGGTTTCTAATGTAGACAGGAATATTTAAAGTTTCACGAATTAACTTCGCAACACTGTGAGCATCAGTTCAGATATGCAGAGAACTGCCTTCATGTACACAGAGCGTGTGAACTGTTTCGTTACAGAAGATAAACACGCTAGCTGACACTCTATGACGCCAAAGTACTACCAGAGGGTTTTCTTTCATTACATGAAATGGGTTTTTCGTGTTCTCACTGAAGTGTTTATTTCTGTTTTGCTGCTGTACACGTCCATAAACAGGCTTACGTGGAGTTTGTCACGCGAATGGGATCTCGTTGGTTCGAGTCCAATCTCACTGCTATCATCACACATTGCGTTAATCTTTTGGCAAATCCGCGCGCGACGACCACTCACGCTGAGGCTATCTACTCACGTCATTGTATTGGCTACATTCTTGGTACTCTATACCGTAGCCTGCTATCTGAGACAGTTCAGCTGGTAGCTGTACGAGAATTGGCTACCCTTGCTCGTCAACGGTTGCAGAATGTTCAAGGTGTGGAAGTACTGGAAGACTCAATCAGTATTGATTCCAGTTCGACCACATGGACCGACTCAACGACCGACTTGGAGGGCAAACATACAGGACCAGATCTAACGGAGCTGGAAGATGAACAAAACGGTGGGGCTGACTTTGTTTCTAAAGCTACCGATCCGGACTCGACGTTTCCGAAGAGGGCATTCGGACGGAGCTTGGCAAAAGCTCAACGCCAGCAGCAACAACAGCACGCTATCGTTAGTATTCTAGACCAACTAACACTACTTGTCCGTTGGTTGGATTCAACCTCAGGTAAGCTTTCGTCTTGTCCACTAGCTTATTAGCGTGTTATCTGAACTTAACAAGCGAACCTGCCTGCTGAAAGCCTAAATGAACTGCAGGGTGGTTTTCATAAAAAGTTGAATGGTATTCTTCTGAGAGTGAGTCTCATTTTTCAGCCACCTTCCAGTATGACGATCAGACAGACTATTGTCATTTGGTCGCCCTGACTGTTTGAACAAATGTTTAACAGTTCATTATGAGAGGTCCATCTCTAGATAGTAACTTGAGTTGTCTACAAACTGAGCATTCTTTCGAGAGGTTTACCTATGGGCAAGGATGTTTCCGCCGTATGGCTTTGCATTCTATAATCTCTCATCCGTGACTCATCCAGGATGCGTGTTGTCGTGAGAGCGCTTTGGTTTCGGGCTTCGTGAACTTCCCTGAGTTCCCTCTCCTGCGTTACACGGTTGTGTGGATTGGGACCACCTGAGAAAACTCAGCATGTTGCGTTTGTCGCTTATCATCGCGTATTCGTTGAGGGCAAGGCGTGTGTTTCGACTGCTGACCACGCGAATACGTAATGCTGACACTCATCTAATTAATCAAAGCACATATTAACCTTGAAGGATCGAGTGACCGTGCAGTTGGGTATTTAACGTTCGACCCAGATGGACCAATTCACATCATCGAAGGATGTCCAACCTGGTACGTGCCACACACCTCTTAGGACATCGAAGCGAATAAGAATTATTACGACTGAACGAGCCAGCTTGTTTGCATTCCCAGCGAGATGATTAGTTTTCTCAGTGGCTCGAAAAACTATGCAGTAGTTTCCCTACTTTTCTCCATCTTTTGGCCTGATAAGAATTTGAGAACGCCTCTGAGTCCCATGCCTCAGAATCGGCACCTCGCTCCTTTTGGAAGCCTTAATTTCACATTGAGATATTTTTCTGTTCCTACCTGAATTTCATAAGATCGAAAGAGTCTGTATGAACGCGTGCATGTATCAACCTATGCTGCAATGGACTGTAGGTCCCGAACTGTAGCACGTCACCTGCTCGAGCTGATTATGGTCCAAATGTTCTTTGACCAACTCTAGTTGTTATCTTCAGCGTTTTGCGGGCATACGTCGGTCTTAGAATCATACCGGAAGTTATGAAACTTTCTAGATTGCACTTGTGTATAACAACTGATCGTCATCGAGCGCGGGTTGAATGGCAAAAAACGGGTAAAAAACGGGTGTTTGCACATCCTGAATCAATTTCCTTTTAATATAAGGTTGCTGGAAATACTCGCCCTCTACAGTATGCACGTCCTCTCTCCTTTCCTGGACATTAATTTGCCGGATAATCGTCCTCACATTCCAGCTAACTGCAGTTTTCCTTACGGTTTCACGTGTGGGCCACACCCATTCCCCTATGCATTTTGCTTCGGGCTTTTTTGTTACCAGATATTCTACCTTCGCGATAATTTTTGTTCAATATCTAGTCTGATTTTCATCTTGGGCACTTAAAGTGATGTGTCAAGTGTGCTTGTGTGTCTCCAATCCAGACAGCCATTCGGACTCGTTCTGCAGTGAGATTCGACTGGGACGAAACGCTTCATTTTCACCGCTTTGCTATCATCTACCTCTTATCTACTGGTCCCGATTCACCATTGATGCGTTTGAAGTTACTATGTCTGTTTAACCCTAAGGACAGGTTTTGGAGGCTGGTTTCGTTGTAGACTATTTTCGTTCTGACTGACATTTTTGGTCGCGATTGTTCATTTTCGGCTCATTATTCTTGTTTTTCTTTCGTCTGGATTTTTCTTAGAGGCAGATTGAAGACTTCCGGAGGAAGCGACACAATGATTGATTGTGGACAGAATCGATTTTATTATTTGACAGGCACTGTATTTTTTAATAGTGAACCGTAGTTTCCTCGTTACTTTGGACTTATCGGAACTAGGCCTCAAGTTACGACCATCCTCGTGGCGCATATTTTACGACTTCCTTGAGAACACAAGCAGTTTAGTCGAAATCCATCTCTATGTCACTTGAACCTGAATTTTCCATCCCCGGAAGTCCAGATACCGGAAAGTGAGCTTTCAGTAGCTGAGTAGAGGTAATTTCGGACCAGTCTCGACCCTGTTGGTCTTTTTAGGTATCATGGGTTGAATCCAGTTGCCTCAGCACTTGATCTGGATACCCAGTCACCTAAAGGGTGCATCGCGCCACTAGCTAGCTACGGCAGAATAATATATTGGTAGTCCCTTTTGTCACAACTATCAGCAGCGTCTTACATTTGATGACGTTACATAGAAGGTTTATCAGCACGATAAACCGGATAAATATGTTGTTGTTGTTGGGCCACTGGAAATACACCTCACTTCACCTCACTCTTGATGAGGGAATTTGGAAGGCTACTGCTATATCCCCCCAGACACCAGACATGAAATCTGGTGCCTACACTGTAACCGGACATCCTCTTCGGATGATTCGCATCGTGCAGTTGGAAGGCCAACCGATATTCCCCCAGACACCAGACATGAAATCTGGTGCCTACACTGTAACCGGACATCCTCTTCGGATGATTCGCATCGTGCAGTTTTCGAAAATGTCGAAACAAGCCTGACAAACATGCTGCACGCAATGTGGAACGGCAGCAGAATCCGATTGAGTGGGGGTGCTCAATGGGACTATTCAGAACGGTTAAGAGAACAGGAGAAAACTGTCACAACATTAATTTGCAATCCTAATGTTCAGGCTGTCCCCTGTCACTACTCTACTTACAATCGGTTATCGGAAAGGTAAGTTTAACGAAAATGGGTTGCGTCTTTGACATGGGTGCGTCGACGGTATCTTCACCTTGAAACGGGTTCCGAAACATTGCTGTTCCCTCCAGCGACCAACACCTTGTCGCTTTTCTTAGTCTATGGGCTGTTTTTGACTGCGTCCTCAGACAATGTACCTGTCATTGCGATGAGAGGTGTCCTTTATAGAAGCGCCGCTTGTAGGTGGTTGCGGGATCTGCAGCTTTCGCTTTCACACTACTCTCCTTTGAAGAGTTCTCCTCCAGTTCGCAACTCACGTTTTTCCCTCATTAGAGCTCACCAATGGCGTATATCCCTTGGCCATGCCCCAATTCGAACCCGGGACGCCTGACATTCGAGATGAATGCCTCCATCAACCCGTCTGAACAGCGGAACTGAGACGTCTTCAGATGTTCAACAATTGTTGTCTCAGAACCATAGCTCGTGTGGGTTGGCGTCGACGTATCCGTAATGAGGCAATTAGAAAGCGCGTTTTCAGTTGTGCAACGGGTAATTCCATCGAATAATGTGTCCGGCACCAGAAACTGTCCTGGTTGGGACATGTGTTTCGTATGCCTAACCGTCGTTCGCCGAAGAGAGCGCTGTTTTCAAGGCCCAATTCAGAGTGACAGAAGTAGAAAGGTAGCCAACCCTTGACCTGGCAGTGGGGCATGAAAGAAATCACGAAACGTTTGAGTGCTGTTGGTGCTACTAGCCTTCCAGAATGAAGACCGGGTGACCCTCACTGCGCCTGGTTGGAGACCCTGCAAGATATAACTGATATCAGTGGGATCCTTGTTGCCAGTTTCTATCCACGTTACCTGAGTGAATGTCTGGAGGTGTAGGCACGTCGGAGTGATTATAGTAAGCTAGCACTGAGTCCCTTACCCGTCCACCTTTATTCTTTTCTGTACAATAAAGCTTTCTAATAAATCATTGTTGTACGGCAGTGAAGCGTCGGTGTTGAATACTGATTTCATGCTGTCGATGACGATGATGCGTCTGAACAGACGAACATTCCACATATCTCGAGTGTGGATGAGGGTGGTGTGATTGTAAATTCTGCCCCTCAGTGGTCGAATTGCAGTCGGAGCGTTCGTTCGTGTTCGTTAAACACGTGGACGATATTGCGGCAGTTGGATAATATCCCATAGAACTACTGACCCCTTTGTTAAGGATACTATGCGGTGCATCTTTCTATTCTGTTATTTTGTGCGCCAGAAACGTGGCTTTTACGCACAGATGATATCCAAAGATCTTTAGTGTCTCCGAAGTATTATCTGAGTCTGATGAGCACATCGGATCAGCAATGTAGAGGGACATCGGTAGGTTTACAGACGCATCGAATCGCCCACGTAGACCAGTTTATTGCACTCCTTGGACCACATTGTTAGACCATGTACTTCGTACGGCAGAGCCCTTTTCATCCATCCACACGCAGGACTCAGACGACCAAAATGCTCCCAATCTTTGACTTGCGTTAGTGTTATCTTTTACCAGTAAAAACCCAACCATCACTGTGTAGCTAACCCGATCCTCCCTTGACTAGAATATCGGCAATTTTGGTGACTTCGCTAAGTCTCCCAACACACAAAATGCTCCTTTGACTTGCGTTAGTGTTATCTTTTACCAGTAAAAACCCAACCATCACTGTGTAGCTAACCCGATCCTCCCTTGACTAGAATATCGGCAATTTTGGTGACTTCGCTAAGTCTCCCAACACAGCTGTTCAAATCTCATTGTCCGTGCCCTCCGTAAATAAATTTCTAACAGTTGGAACCAAATACCACTACTGTTGTGCTCCATCTTCCCAACTAACCCTTCGTAGCGATTGCTTCATTGCGCATGCGTAAGTGTACGGCTATCTTACTGCTATGCTATTCCCTTCTCCACAATACGGCCACCTGTTCAATGCGACCGAGCTTTTCTCGGTTGTAATAGATTGGGAGGGCTGTTCGTGGTTTGAAGATAAACAACCGACGTGCATGCTTAATGGGACGTGATTGATGGTACTCGTACAAGCCTTCATTCTGCACAGTAGCGATGAGGTTAACTAATTCCCTTAGAATATGTGATTCGACTGGTGCCCTTATGTCAGTGTTTTGGGTTGCATACATGGAGGAAAGACGCTGTATTGTTAATGAGCCACGACAAATCTTTGGCTGACTAGTGGGGAACCCCGTTGGATAGTGTGAGAGACTCTGTTAGGGTGACACGGCCTTCTTGATTCTCTCCACTCCACTTCAACTTGAATCATTCAACTTTTCAAAGTAAAATGTTTGCTGTTTTGCCCTTTCGGTGTTTTGCCCGCTGGATTAAAACGGTATTCGCATGACAAATTGGTTTCAGCGAGATTTTGAAACTCTGTAATAAGTTTAGTCAACACTTTAACGGTGTTAACCTCAACAAATCATGTATACGTCTTGTGTGCAGCGTAAACACATTACATTTTGAAGACGGTCGATTGTTCTATGCGGTTACAATAGCAGTTTTTGGTTGTGACGGCGTTGGTGAGATGTAGACAAACCAATGGAACCTTCGCAAAAGAGAAGATAAGCAGAGAACAGCCAAACTCTAGAGAACCCCGAGGCAACTCTCAGGAATTCGAACGAAGATCAATCAGAAGAATATTTTGTTATTAGCATTCATGTATAGTTGAATTTTACCAATTCGCTATACAATTTCCAGCGTACCGTAGAATTTATTTTTTGGTGGTACTTGCTGAAGCGGTTATGGTTATCTGCAATGCGATGCTTGACTCTAACCGAATCAGGATATTGTTTCGCTTACTTCTTGCCTAATGTAACATTTGTTCACTTGAATGTTTGTTTTGTTTCTTCCATACAGCCCCGCTGCTTGACGAGCCCTGCCATCTAGCTGACCTTCTGTGTACTGCACTTACACATCCCATTGCTCCAGTCCGTCTTGCTGCAGCTGTTTGCCTACGCCAGCTGACAATCGCTCTGCCAGGTCAGCGGGTTATCCTACTGGATCGTTGTATCAATTGTTTGCATCAAGCACAACGTTCGCATGGTGATGCAATCCTCGGTTATAGCGCCGCCATTGCCGGAATTTTGGCGGGTGCTAGCCTGGATAACCTGGGACTACCAGGCAATCGTGCAAAGCAGGTAAAGTGAATCATTGCTACTTATACAGCAGCATTAATTGTACCTTTTCCACCTACGTTAGTGTGACCGCCCGCAGTGCGAACAGCTTGCATTGATTTTGCGTAGCTGATTCTTAGTTCGCAAACTGGTTATGTGGAAAGTAATTAACTGAACATCGTTGTACAGTCCCACTTTGTTTGTCGGTCGTTCATTTATAGACATTACTCTCTTGTTTGTCCTGTGAATATTTAGACAAGTTTTGGCCCATTAACATGCCCATTTGTGAAACTGGCTTACTATTATAGAAAGTAGGTTGTCTCATGTTGTCCAATTCGTCGAAATTTTGCTTTGAGCTCAAAGTAACTCAGTGGTTAAGGCGCGAACTTACCGACCGGAAGGTCCGTGGCTCGAACTCAATCCCAGCATGTCAACTGCTCCTGGCTGGACTTGGACAACCTTGCAGTATCTCAGCCCTCATGCTTCCTTTTGGTGGCATGGCATCTAAACACCAGGAGTAACAGCTAAGTGACTACAAAACTTCTGTTTGGTAATTACAGTCGTCTGGCTGTGTGACACTTGCGAGTTACCGTAAAATCTCCACCTCTCGTTCTCTTCGCACTGAATTTCTAATTGCAACCTCCGCATCGGAGCATTTCGATCATTGGGCAAACAAATTTCATTGATCGCAATGCGTTTGTTGCTTTTCGGATAATTTCGAATTTGTTTGTCATGAAGTAGCAGTAGTTGGTCAATTCCTTCGTGGAGAAAAATGAGCCGATCGATGTAGCAGAATCAAAGGGTGCACGGTTTTTTACTTTTTCACCTGCCTACCACATGTGATCTAATCGGTGCCTGCATTCTGAATGTGTTTATCAATGTCGGTAAGAACAAGCAAACAAGACACTTCGCTATGTTGATCAGAGTCTACTACGAGTTGTCAGGCCGACAGTCCAACGCTCATAAGTTATCTCTTTTGGGATCTCCGATTTGGGATAACGGACTGTCTATTTCATTTATTATCCTCCGTCCCTTCCGTTTCCGAAACCAATCAGTCCTGTGTATTCGAGCTCTTCTGACATCTTGCCCCTCCAACTGCTGGATTCCGGAAACCTCTTCTAGACAGTTATCTTCTAGGCAGTTATTATTTCCTATGCCCTGTCTGTTTTGACGCACATAACATTTTTCTTTATTCTTGCGAAAGTTCTTTTCGCGCTGTCGTCCTTGTTGGAACTAATCGAATAAGTTGTTACCCTTTACTGGTTTTCGAGCCTTCTGTGCGCATTAGCTTCATGGTTTGTTTTAGCCTGCAGTGTGTGTAAATTTTTATGGCACTTACCTTTCGACTGACATCAAAAGTACCATGGAAAGGAACGTGTAGTTGGGTATACATCTCAGTTCTGTTTTGGTGCAGACACTTGACAGACCCTCTCATGTTCGAAAATTCATATTCTGAGGTAATGGGTACATATAGTGTGCCTTGTGCAACTAGCAACATCCGTTTTCCCTTGAGTTTTCCCCTCGTATCTAAATCATGCGACCTAGTAGAATTGTTTGAATTCACTGCCAGTATCGATTTACCTCTAACGAACTTACAAAACACTATTGAAATATTAGTGTTTTCTTGATTTAGTCGATCGCCCGCCCTGATCTGCGACTAACGTGGACGGTTTTCATGATGTTCGTGACCCTGGAATGAGCAGAGTGTGGCAAACTGGGAACCGATAGCAAACACGGGTGGACAGTTTTCTAATCAGTTTTTCTATGTAAAGCTAAAAGAACTGGAAGTGACAAGCTGGTAACCTATGGAAGTTTATAACCAGCTAACGAGTCACTCGAAATTGAATAGATTCATGATGTCGGATTCGTCGTGAGATCTTTCTGGCAGTTGCTTGGTGATTTGACACTGTTGAGCAGCAGTACCGTGATGTTTACGCTCTGCTGGATGTACAGCAGACCACTTCTTCCGGAAGAATGTGATATTTTGTAATAGGGATACGTTCAATCTCGACAGTTTAGATGGTTCCGCTTGGTGGGAAGAAAAAAATCGAGGCAGTCTAACTCACAAGAGAGAATCTATTGCTGTTGTGGAGAATGTCGGTAGCTCTGGTAGCGCGGATAATCGCTAGTTTGTTCGTTGAGCTGCACAAATCGACTGTAAACGTTTCATCACCATTTGAGGTGACATCGATACTATGTTAGAGAGCGTGGTGGGGCGTAGTGATGAATTAGTGGTTGTGCGTGGAGTAGTGTTATATGTCTGTTCATATACGTGCTGTTAGCTGGAGCTGAACTTCGATCACAATCGGTTGTTCGGTCGCACGGTTCCATTAGTTGCTCCGTTTTCTAGTGGCCTGATTGGCTGGTGACCGCATGACGTTTGAGCGTCGTCTCTCTTGCTCCCGTACTCTGGTCGTTGCTGGAGTGACCTCTGTTCGTGACGTCTCGGCTTCAGTTTGTGAACTTTGTTGGGAATGTATTGCGAGAATCTATCATCGTGTGGGGTGCCATTTCTAATAGAGATACGTCGTTTAGCTGTACTCTACTCGATTTGCCCAGCAACGCACTTTCGTGTGACAGTTCGACTTTACTGTTCCCTGAACAAAATCACTCTCGCCGTTTCAAAATATTCCAGTGTCAGTTATGTGCGCGCGGATTCCACCTTTATTTTGTGTCAAAAATTTTTGAGGCCTTACGATGAAGAGAGAATGTGGTTTTCCATAACGTGGTTGAGAGAAAAATAAGTTGTAAAAAGGAGCCAGGAAGCAGCAGCCCTGCAGATATTAGCTCACAAAGTGCCAAAACATTACCCTTCAGTGGTAGCCTACTTAGTAATATTTATTTAACACAGCATACCGTTTTCTCAGCCCTGTGCGCATAAAGGTAGAATTGAATTTGATTATGTATTCATTATTTGACTGCGTTGGATGGATGTGACGTATGCCAAACTTCAGTGTTGTGCATAGAATTGTAATGAAGGCGTCTGGAAAAAACTCTTGGCTTTATTACCATATCAAACGCATCGAATACAGAACTTCAACATAATTTGTGAACAGAGGGAGCTTTTTAGGTTCATCTGATGACTTGTTGAATGGTGACTAAGGATGACGTTGTTCCTAGCAGCAGGTTTCAGCGTGATACGCGCTGTTAACCAAAATGATTTTCGAGATGCCCACAAACAACTGCACATACACCCGGTCACTGGGAGAGGTAAACTACTTCCTTGGTGTTTGGCACTGCAGGATAGTTCGGTCGAGGATTACGGTTAAATGGCAATGTGGTATGAATAGCAAGTTAGTGGACCCACAGACTGTTCTGATTTCCGTTTCCCCGGGAGTCGTCTAGCCTCACAACAACTCAAAATATTTGTCATGTGAACACACGTGTAATCCGCCACTAACCACAGTGCAAACATCAGATGGGTGGCTTGATGGAGCAGTTGCAGTCCGGACTCAGACACTCCATAATGATATAATCATAGATGACCAAGTGTGAGTCGTAGATCCACAAGAACGAAACCGTTCTTTCCTCTCAGGTTTCCTGGATAGTAGTTTACTTGAAACATTAAGCCAAAAGCTCTTCCCTAATGGCAGCGGGGCGAAGCGCAGAGTTTTCGATCCATCGTGAATTAGTAGTCATCATAGTTATGCTGCTTCCAAACACGAAAGCTTCCCACTGCCTTCCGTTTACATATAAGGCAATCACGTCATAATATCCGTAGTCCTTAAGGTAACTTATTGGGTGCTTTGTGTGTGGAGTTCGTGTTCTGTTTGGAATCCGGCATACACCATGTCCTCTAAACGGACACTTTTCTCTATCAGTTTTCGCAAGTGGTTGGACAGTCGTCTTTCGAGTTAATGAAACTTCTTCGCTGCAAAAGCGCAGTGGCTGGCCTCTGTCAATATGGGCCTTATCAGCCGGTGGTATTTCACAAATGCTTCATCCTGAGCTTAGAACATCTTTTGAAATCGAAGGACCAAAGCGATAATATGAACTTGGTCTTTTTCGGGCATTCGGGGCTGTGCATTGACATAGGATTCTTTTACTGAACCCTTGGTTTTTTACAAGTTGCATGTGTGTAGTATTCGATCAAATTTTACTTGCACTTAGGAGCGCAACTTGTATCAAGGATACTACTGCGGAAGCAAATAGTGTCTTTCCTCAGAAGGCAACCATCTTAGTCGTCAAATCACTCCTGCTGCCATACTATTGGTCTCCGTGCCTCTGACGTATGTGCGAAACCCTGTTGCTTTTCACGAAAAGCTTAACTAAACTTCACACCTTTCTGTGCGCTGTCTGTGATCTCCGGAGCACTTTTTCTGTTGCAGTGCGTTTTAGAGACCCCTCCTTAGTCGATTGGCCTGCCATCATGTGACCTAAGTGCGCAATGCACTGTCCAGCGTTGTGGTCGATGCCCATTCTTGAATGAGAAAATGTAGTGGCCGCGGTGTTACTGCATTTCGTGATCTAGGCGTGAAACATCCTGTTTAGTCTGAACTATTCTCGTGTGACAAGAGAAAAATGTGCGCAATGCACCTGGTGATAGTTTATTGTGGGTGGGTTTAGCCGCTTACGGTGACTACTGCATTTCTATCAACGTCATATTTTTCTTTTGCACTTGTTGTCATTTTTCTAACGCTTATCGATCTCCTTCTGTGTCGTATATTCAGCTTGGATAGTCCAAATGTACTGTTCCTCATGTTCAGTATGAGTTAGCCACTGATTTTCCTTGGTGCCTTCAGATGGTTGTATTTCATCCCCACGAAAACAAATGCCATCAAAACCGAGCGAAACAGTCGGATTTTTGAGGTTCCATTTTTCGGGCTGTAGTGCGAGCTAACAATAAGACAGTTCCTGAGTGGATTCGTTTTTAAGCGATGTGTTCTTTGGGGAAACAGATAGCTCTTCTTTGGCTTGACCTGACCCTGCAAATAGTGGTTTTTCGTTGGTTGGTATGGTTGTGTCATACCAACGAGTATATGTTGCATCTGTTTATCAAGCTTTTAATATATTCTCACTCTCGACACAGCAGGACAGCTAGCCTTTACTCCGTGTTTGCTTATTTGATTGTTCAAAGGATTCACTGTTTAAACTAAGTGTATAATATTCTCTTGGAATAAGCCTCCAATTAGGGAACACTAAACGGAACCATTTATGTGAACTACACCCATTTGTACTTCGATTTGGTTTTAACGGGAGACTCAACTGAATCCCAGCCGAGTTCCTCCTTTATGGTATTCTAAATGTGCTGCACAATCGCCGCCTCATGTTTCATTGGGTACGGTATTCGAGATGTTGCTGTGTATTTTCTTTGATGAATTGTTCACACTTTGTAATTCTGTTATCCATCTCAGTCCGGTTCGCCGACAAACCCTCGATAGTTTACCTCCAACTGAGCGAAGCACACTAGCTAGCATGTGATTGGTTGAAAGTCTCATCTGACTTCTCGACTTCATTTTGTTTGCCATCCACTCAAACCAGTGTATGGTCTGAGTGGTCGTCGGTTTCTGGTTGAACGCGGCCAACGTCGTTTGACTCACGTTACAAAAACTTTACTGAACGGCAATATCTCCAAAAGTCCATCTGATATCAACAGGAAGCAGATCGCATAATGTGTATTTCAGTTAAGTGGGAAACAAAGGATGTGTTTAAATAAGTTCGAACAAAATTCGTGATGTTTTTTGCAGCACGATATTCCTCAAGTGTTATAATAAATAAAAATAATAGTGGTTCAGCTGAAGCACCCTTTCGGCGCGTATCTGTCGTGTCATCTGATGGAAGCATGGGGACTGGATACACTGCCTTTTGATGTAGAAGTATATGAAGAGCTTACGGGACACGTAATTCACTTTTGGAGCGGGGAGATAATCTGAACAAAGACGGAATCACCGTTTCGGCGAAAGCCCTCGGCAATACTGGCTGACTGAGGACGAAACCGGGTGTTTCTCTGAGTAGGTAGGAGCGTCAACGGAATACTTCATGCAGATGGTGATACCTTCCAGAAATCTGGTTCTATCTTAGGTGACACTTCTCTTTTAAGGCATCTTTTAAGGAGGCTTTCATCAGAAACTGTCGCCATCATCCGAAGATGCACAGACGTCAAAGAAATTTCAGAGCTGGAGACGACGTTGGCCTAGTGAAAGTAGCGAAAGTGGCGAACAAGTCCTGTTTTCTGTGATTACGATCAATCACAGAGAACAGGTATTATTTGCTTCCTCTTTTTACAACTTGCACGAGTAACTTCAACTGCCCATCACTTTTCGTTATACTGTTCTATATTTTATGCCAAATGTCTACAGCGGTAGTATTCAATATGTAAACGGTCAAGATGACTCTAATTAAATGGCCTAAGCATTCTATTTTTCCAGCATACACTGAACACTTTGTGCCGTATAATTCTCCCCGCTTGCACTCCGCTGATATCAGTCACATCTCGTAACCATCACAGCAATGAAGCTCATCCTGTCTTGAAACTTCATCCATCCTACGCATTGACAGGCATAGCTTGCCTGTCTACGTCAGATGGCCGGGTGCACTCTAGCTGTCGTGGTTCGACTGCATACACTCTCGCGCGCCACATATCCTTTCGAGCCCGTTGTGTAGGTTATCGTGACACACAAAGGAGCCGTATCGAAAATACATGCGATTCGAATGGCTCATATGCTGATGTGCGCCCACACAGGAACATCAGGTGAAGAGCCTAATGATGACTTGTACCATGGCATTGTCGAGTGGTGATTGCGCTCAAATTATGCTGATGCCCACACAGGAACATCAGGTGAAGAGCCTAATGATGACTTGTACCATGGCATTGTCGAGTGGTGATTGCGCTCAAATGGTTTGTTTCGGGAGGATGAAAGTGAGCACCTCGGCATAAGAAAAGCAGCGCGGTTGCATGTTGAAAATTTATGTCGGCATACATTGGCCCCACAGGATAATTGGGGGCTCTCGTCAACACATTGCAATTAACAAATCAGTGTATTTTGTCGAGCAAAATAAATAGCTCAGCTGTGACACCCTTTCGGTGCCTAGCCGCCATGCCACCCGAAGGAAGCAAGCACTGCCAGGTTACCCAAGCCTAGACAAAGGAAGCCGGTTACGTACAATTCGGTATTCAAGCAGAGCATAAGAATGGCGGAAACTGGAGAACTGCGCCTGCCTAATAAACCCCAAGAAGGCAGGAAGCGGCAGTGGGTTATGGGAGAGTTCTCAGCAATATTATGAGTAGGGTGTTCTGTCAAGATATTAGGGGGGTAGTGTGATACCATCTGGCTCATTCAAAGTCTTTCTCTGGCTCCGGAAGACTATTCTAAAGCCACCTTTCTTTTATGAGGTTGCAAATCTGAAAGCAAAACAGCATTCCAGGCACTTAAAGCACTCAAAGCAAACGCGGGAATCGGACCAGAGGGACTTAATTTAAATCGCTCGAAAAGCGATGACGAAGCTCTGCCACATTACCCGCTGCAACTTCCGTTCGACTGAACGAAAATTCACCATCTAATCAATAATTACAGAATCCTAGCGTTAACACTTTGGCGGAGTAATCTTATCCAAGACTCGTCCATGAAACTGTTTGTCCCCACTAAAACGCTAAGGATGTCGCATGTGGATGTGGTAAAACAAAGCATCCGAAAGATTGCGGAAGCGTAGGTGGTTTGTATAGTTAAAAATACCGAAATCGGAATATAGTGGAATGATGGAAAAGATACATCTTCCCGAATCTAAGGGATCAGTGGTTGTCAGCGGTTTAGCCAACTTGAAGAACGACTTGTGTAATTTCCTGTCACCCAAAGTTTTCGCTTAGCTGCCGTGGTTGAGCCTCTTAATCCATGGAGATTTTGCAGTGACCTGATTAAGAATCAGGTTCACCACCCGCAGTCTCTTCATATATTTTACGGGCCCCATTTGTCTGCCTTTTACAATTTTTTGTGGTAGTCAAAAACTATGCTTTTCTTTGCTTTGTGCGATTCTTGCTTCGTTTTAGATCAAATCGCCAAATAGGCGACATCCTGAACCAAGAACAGTTGTTTTTGTGTTTCTTAATGGTATATCTCATCAAGCGTTTGCACCATTCTACCGAAGGTTGCCTTAATGCCTTATCGGCGTAATTTTACGACACCACGTGTTCTGATGGCCGAATCGGGTTCACGAGGATGTCGGGCTCGGGACATCCACCTGAGTCCAGACCCATTATCATTATACCCATTATGGTTTCCATTCTCCTGGCGTCAACCTATGCTGAAGAAGTGCGCAGCACTGTACAGCTGTTGCATCGATGTTTTATGACATCAGTAGTACGATCTTTACGAATCGAGGTGGGGGAGGTTAGAACCTCAACTCTTCCGGGTAGGACTGTGGGCACTATTATTCAGCTGTGATTAGTTGACCATCCCTCAGCCTCGAAGTTCGTATCACCTGTGGCCGATGTGATTCAAATATCAAGCTTGTCTTGTCTGATAGGTTATTGATTATTATGGGAAGCCGTAAAAGTGGCAGATTAAACTTATTTGTCTAGCCCTATCAGGAAAGCCGGGAAAGGAAATCATGGGAAATACGATTTCCACGCAGAGTGGTCTTAGGTCACTGGCCAAGCTGAGCCACTTCATTTCTACATCTTTCCATACACAGTGTTTTTTCGTGTTTTTTTAATCTAATTAGATGCGGTTTCGGCAAAAACCGTTTACGGTAGAGGGTCGTGGAGTGCACAATAAGGCCCAGTGTTAAGAATCAGCTCTATTGTCGACGACTAAATGTTGATTAAATGCCATACAATTCACCGCATTTAATTACACAATTCAGACCGACAACTTACCGAATGAGACTGATTTGAGAGAGCGTAAAATGTATTTCATGGGAACGAAAGTTAACCATCAATGAGGATGTTTTTTTCGGGACTTTCCACAGTGCAGTTACTGAATTGGGCAAAGGGCAAAGCGTATTTCTTGTATCTATTGAAGTATGTATCTCGTCTATGACATTGTAGGTATTTTCTCTTGCTGAGGAACTCCTTCGCGCTGCCAACCAGAACAGTCGCTTGACTCTTCCCAGGACACAAGCTGGATGGATGATGTTGGCCGCTTATATGACACTAGGACCGGATCTGGTTAAACCGCACCTCCCTCGAATGCTCTTGTTCTGGCGAAATGCTTTCACACGCAGTCTACGTGAACTGGAGGCCGAGAAACAGCGTGGGGACGCATTCACGTGGCAGGTTAGTTCAGTCTACACAGCGACCTCGTTAGACACGAGAGCGGTTTATCCTTGCATTCACGTCTGTGTTTACTTGTAAATCGGCATCTGCGGTCGGTTTCTATGCTTCCGTACGTCTGCGCGCTTCATCCTTTAGCGTCGGCGATGGTTGGTCGCGATTCTTCAGACCCATTAGAATTTCGCTGTTTTGTTTGTGAATGGAGTTATTATGACCTGTGCCCACTATATTGGCTCGTCCTCGTTCTAGCAATGTAGGGATAAGGAGCAGTGACGTAAAATCTCACAGCTAAGCTTCATATACTTCTCCAGCTAGCTTTGATTATCCGATATCTTGTTTTCAGTTCCATCTTCACTGCACGAAATATATTCCTATGGCTTTCAACGCAAGCGGCGAACCAATGGGGAGTAATTCACCATATGTTCAGTTGTGTTTTCCGGAAGCTTCTGAATCATGTGTAGGAATTGCGATGAGGATAGCTGATCCAACTCAGCCTCGCTTTTCGCACTCAAACTGTCTTTTGTCCACCTCACACCAGCGACCCACAATGTGCTGTGTGAAACGTCAATCCTTTCTTACTGCAATGTGCCCGGGCTTTAGCACGCTTTTGGCCAGCTTAACTCTCCGCCGCTCCACCGAATGGTTCTGAGCTCTTAACAGCTCTGGCCATGACACGGACCTATTGGTTCGTGGTTCGAACCCAACCTCGGCATCTCGACTACTTCTGTTTAGGTTTGAGCAACATAGCAGTATCCCAGCCATCGTACTTCCTTTCATGACAGCCAAGCACCGAATGGGTGTTACAGTTGAATGGTTGTATTAAATTATAAATACGTCCTTCCATGAACGCCTCCCAAAAAATGGTCAACTCTAATGAGTTCAGTTAGGATAGCCGTCGCTTCAAACACCTTCGCCATGTGCCCCAATTTGGTTGCTTACATTTGTCTGTTAAATAACCCACTTCCTATGGTTGGATGGGCAATCTGAATCACCGCACTTCACATGTTACATTCACTAACACAATTCCTACTTTTTATTACCCCACTTTCGCTCGGTAGGTAATGCTCGAGGCCAGAGCGGGAGCATTGTGTTCGATGCAAAGCTTTTTGGAATGTTGTGCCCCAATGTTGATAACGGAGGAGGCAGTCAGTCGTCTGTTGGCTCCGATCGAATGTGCACTTAACATGCTGGCACATCTGTTGGACATCGTGCGAATATACGGAAATCACTTAAAGGCTATTGCCAGCATGATACGGCACCGCCTATACCGAATCCTGCTTCTCCTACCACACACTGCGTACACAAGTAAGTGTGGGTTCCTACTACGCCCGAGGGACTGTGATCCAATCGCCCGTTGAGGCTATAAATTTTTCCGACCTGGTTCATGGGCATATTTGAACAGATTCCTACCCTTGATGAACCAAGTCGAGTGGTAATCAGTTTGGAACCTACTCGGATGCATTCCGATTTGGGCTGTAGTATGACTATCTAGACCGCGCTGATCGCTGAGACACACTCAGCAACTGGTTAAGGTCACCAGTTATGCCTACCACTGCGAATGGTAAGATGAATTTTGACTCCTTGTCTGCTCAGATTCATTTTACCCAAGCTTGCTTAGCAGTTACTGGATACGTACAGATTAGGGTTGTTCGAATCTCCGGACTAAGAAACCGGTAACATGGTCGGTCAACACTTTAAAGTAGTATAGAGTAATTGTACCAACGCTCCAAGACTGTCGCCTTGTGGAAATCTTTGCTGTTCAATTCCCACACTACAAGGCGAGGTTTTCTGTAGGCCATACCCTTGTGTCTCGATTGTAGCAGAGATCATAATCCGAGTCGAATTCGGTATTTCTTCATGTACTGCATACATTCCGTCCACGCGCTTCCGGTCGAACTTCCTATTTGACGTGGGTCTGATTAACGAAATCGGACTAAAATTTGGTATTTTTTCCACGCAAGTATTATCGGCCCCCAATAGAACTAATACATACAACTGAGGTAGAAGCAATTAAGGTAGTCAACACATTGGTTTCATTTTACTGTGTTTCTTCTCGAGGTAGAAGAATGTAAACAGTAGTCACTTTAAAGCCAATCGTCTCACAGCATTGATTCCACCCTGTTCATAAAGTCACTGACTAGGTCAGAACACAGGAGTTTATGCGGCCGTGACCTACGGCTGACGCTTTTGGTACTTAATCAAACCTGACCGTCATTCGTCCAGCAAAATTATCCACTTAGAATGGAAGCTAAAACTACGACATGGTATCGGGTTGCAAGCTTCTGTAATTTGGAGCTGAAAGATGTCTCCCGCTACCTCAACTAAACAGAGCCCTGAACCTTGTACGTCATGCATACTGTCCTGCATCATCAAGGTGATTTTGTCGTTCTAAACAACAATCAATTCATCCTGTCTACTGAGCACAGAATCTACGTAGAATCTGCGCAGATCAGCATATTTAACTGGCAAGATAACCCTTCGTAACCGTTTTCAGTTTTCATGATCTGTATACTTTGCAGTATGCAAAGTATGCAACTCGTATGTACTCTCAAATAAGTTATAGATTCAACGCACGATGGCCTTTATTGTAGCTGGTGTTCTCAACAGTTCCATACTAACTTTCTATATCTATTACCCGTCGTTTGTGTCTTATCCCACACATTCCGTCTTCACTGGGAACTCTACTGCATTCTGTTTGTCTCAAATTAGCCTGTCCTCTCTAACATTCCTCTTGCCTATGACCCAGTCCACTGGCAATTGTTTTATCCACAATGATCTCGACAATCTACCTTCTTCCTCCAGTAACTCCAGTGTTTACTGCATTGACTTTAACGAAAAGCGAAAAATGCTTCGAACTCCCGAATGATTGTAGCTACTCCCCAAACTAATTACTCACTTTTTACCAGTTCAGAACTGACGTTGGTGTTTCATCCCACTTCTTTTGACGTTTATTGCGTCCTCTATTTCGAGTATAGATTCCTGAGGAAACGGATATGGTTAGGGAAGTCTTTTGTGACCTTTAGTAATGAATCATGAATTCGAACAACTAACTTTATTTGAAGTTCCATCTCAGAGTATCATCGCGTATGTTGAACGAACTTGAAGTGCTAGAATGCCGAGCAGCACTCCACTTATATGGTGCGACAAAATTTTTGAACTCCATAAACCCTCCAGGAGAGAGAACATTCCACAATTCGCCGAAACCTTCCTCACCTCAAAACCAGGTCACGTGAGGTTGGCTACGCGATAGATGGTTGATTGGGAATATATTTCGATTGGTCACACCACCGGCCAGATATTCGTTGCTGGATACCTGTATTAAATTCCATCTTTCAAATAACTTTAAAGTTCACTGCAGAATCTTTCTAGATAGTTCAACGAGTCTTCAACCTATTTGTGGCTACACCTATGCTCGAGCTTAGCTGTCTAGGTTTNTGCCGGGCAGCACTCCACTTATATGGTGCGACTAAATTTTTGAACTCCATAAACCCTCCAGGAGAGAGAACATTCCACAATTCGCCGAAACCTTCCTCACCTCAAAACCAGGTCACGTGAGGTTGGCTACGCGATAGATGGTTGATTGGGAATATATTTCGATTGGTCACACCGCCGGCCAGATATTCGTTGCTGGATACCTGTATTAAATTCCATCTTTCAAATAACTTTAAAGTTCACTGCAGAATCTTTCTAGATAGTTCAACGAGTCTTCAACCTATTTGTGGCTACACCTATGCTCGAGCTTAGCTGTCTAGGTTTTGATCCATGCATATCTCGTTATGATTTCTACTCTATTATAGAGCGTAAGTTCTTGGTGGCTTAGATTGTTCAGTTGGTGGTCTTGTTGTCTGCAGCTAAATTATCATGGCCAAATAACAACTTGGCAACGTTTACCAATGTTTTTATCAATTTTCCTTCTTGTCGCCTAGTGATTGCATGGTTCGATTCACTTCCCCGCGCTTTCAGCAATCATTTTATCCGTTCGCTTATAAATCGAAACCGTTTGGCCGTTTACACTGACCGATAGAAGTCGTGAGTTTCCCGTTCCCGAGATGGCTGTCCTCGAAGCTTGCTGGACCATTTGTGGCGGTTTCTTTGTCGGGCCCTCTCCTCACTGTACACCACTCTATGGCGATTCTAGACTGGGGAATGATCAGTGGGATCCAGAAATATCCTGAACCGCAGCTGTTCAGGAACTGTTTGGACGTATTATTTCAGTTATCGCCACTTTTTGTACGGCGTTTTGGCGCTTCGGGGACGCCCGCTAGCCAGAAAAGATAATACTCTTCGGTTTCACTGTCTATGCTTCCCGGTTCAAAACCAGGCTATCCAAATTCTGATTCTTAGTCCTTTTTTCATATTACATGGAAGCCAAGCATCTCCAGCTTCGTTTTCATCCACTTGCTTGTTCATCCTCTTGGCTTCTGCGTTACACATGTGTGGATCGCAGTGGAAGGCCAGACGTCTACTGGAAGGACCGCAAAAAACGACGCAAAAGCATACATGAACTAGCACACACCTCAACGTGCGTGAGATTAAAAGAGGGAGAATGGTAGAGATTTTTAAGAATAGAACTCCTTGTCGAAAAGGAAGAGACCAAGACACTTCCCATACGGTCGCTGAAGACTCTTCGGCATCATGAACAAGAGATTCAGTTGGATTCAGTCTAGTCTCCTGTCGAAACAAAGTTCGTATGCAAGTATGAGTAGTTGTCGAACAGACAAAGTGCTCAGTTCTACGACGTCCATTAGCCACCGTAGTTGCAGTGACCAAATGAGGAAACCGTATTGCCCAGTTGGCAGGGACGGAAGAAGCGAGCCAACCTGGTGTAAAAATGAATGTTGTTTTGTGAATCTCTTCAAGCAGAACATAAAGCTGGTGCAAACTCGGGAACTGTGCTTCATTGAAGGGGCCCAAAAATGGTAAGACCACTTCCGGGCTACCGAAGAGTTTTCAGCAATCTTACGAATAGTTTTCTTCAAACTCCGGTGGGCATTTCCCTCGGCAGTAACTGTAGGATGCAGCAAGAAACGCTAAGCCCCGATGTTGTGGAAGTGTCTCAGTGTGCGAGAGAGTATCGGTTCCCCATACCATTTCACGTTGGATACCGGCAAAGCGCGAGAGGTAGGAAAAAAGCCCACCCCAAACTTGACAGCACTACTAAATGCTAGGGCGAATTTTCGGTTTTTGGAGCCAAGGGATTTGGGTGGGCGTTAAATATTTGCCTGTCCGAAATAGGAAACCAACCCTTCTGGATGCTCGCACGTTTGGATGTCGCCACGTCTCGGAATGGAATGAACACATTAATTTTTCTAACCTGATAGAAAAACACCACTGGTGAACGATAGACGGAGGACTTTGAAACGGTTGGGGCAAATTCAGGAGCGCAGGTCATAGAGTAGAATGAGAGGGATAGTAGCTAAATTCAGTCGTCTTGGTACGTTCGTTTCTGACGGAACGGTGAATACCCGCCGCAGTAATAATGACCGAAGTGAACTGGAGAGGTTGGATCAACAGGTATACAATTGGGGAACGAAAGAAAAATTGTGGAGGGAAAAAAGCTGGTAAAAATCTCCGTTTCTTCTAAGGGGAGAGTTTGTGGATTTCCGGATTAATCAGGTTTAGGGAATGAGTAAGGACAACAGTTGGTTGCTTCCTGTCGGTGCTTTAGATAGCTGAATAGGTTTTCGTGCCGGGAGTTTATGTTTGATTCTGTCGATTCAGACTTGCGAATTTTGCATGCAACCACGTAGTTGGCGCGTGTCAAGAGACAGGGATGCATCCACCAACATCCTTATGTTCCGTTTTTCTTCTTTTCCACCATCAGGAGCGCATTGTTAGACAGTTTGAAGGTTGATTGATTCCCCGATCCGAAAAACTAGGGGATTAATTAGGCTGTAAGTTTTTAGTCAAAGGCTGCACGATCCTTTGAGGATAATAGCTGAAAATTTGACGCAAGTCATCGCAGTCAGTGGAGGAGTATCTCCAGAATACATGAGTGGCGGAAGAGAATTTTCGGGAGGAATCGCGCGGAGGGAGGAATAATGATGAGCTAATTACTTGAGGAATTAAGCGGCTGTTGGGAATTAGAGATTAATCTGATGGATAGCAGTCCGGTCGGTTTCCTCCCTTTTTGTTTCAAATTCGAAAACCACCCCCTTGATTTTCCATCCTTGATACATCAAATGGCTGATCCACTTAGCTTAGACACACAGGCTGACACTGGTGTACATGATACGATACTGGGTGTCGAAACTGCCGATTCTGTTTCCTATTTTCTCTCTCTAGAAATACAGTTTAGAATTCCA